TACACTGGGCTGAGTGTTCCCTGTCCCCCATCCCTGTGAGCATAGTCTCCACCAGTCTTATTCCTGAGACCCAGTTCCTGCTGTGGGAATTGGTCATTTGTGGCTCTAGTGCTCAGACCCAGGAGTGAGAGCTGGTGCAGCAGGGGACCCAGAGGAGGGTCAGAGGATTCTCCTCTGGCAGGTTGGGGCCATACACCTAGTGGCAGCAATGGGGAGAGCTTTGTTCACACTTAACTCTTCATCCTGGCAGGGGCTGGACTTTTGTATGCACAGTTACAGTTTGTTTATCCACAGAGGGGCCTTCCCTGAGGAATTCAGCCAGGTGGTATATTTGTAGCCTGCTCCCAGAATGTCTTATTTTGTAATGATTGACTACATTTAGTAATAGTTACACATGTATATGGTTACTATATGGAAATTCAATATATTTTATAGTTAAAATATTCTAAAGTAATTGATGTTTCTAGCAAATTGTAGTGGCTACTCATCAGCTATGAACTCTTCGTTTTGTACCACAGTCCTGGGCTTAACAAAGATGTGAACCTTGTAACCTGAGACATGAAATGTGATCATCTTGTGTTTAACCTGAGGGAGGAGGGTGCTCCCAGCATGAGGCCTCATACTAGTAAGGAATTGTGGGCAACAGATTAACCACTGTATCTAAGAATCCTCAAATTAAAACATTTCCACAAATGGCGGCCCTTGGATTGTGTCCTTTCCTGCCCTATCCCCTCCCTTTTTCCCGTGCTATAGAGTAGGGAGCCCTTTCACTCAATACCAAGGATCTCTCACCCTCTGGCCTACCCTACGGCTCTGTTCTGAACCTATTGCTCTTGCCCAAGGGATCCCCCACAGCACCTAGCTTCAAGCATGAGACCCTTAGTGGCCAGTGGGGATGTCTCTGCCAGCCGAAGGGGGATCCCCAGTCTCCAGGCCCTAGCACCCAGGATTTGGGACTGCACTCACTACTGCCTGGGGCAGCAGGGTACACAAGAGGTACTCAGTTCAAATCCTGATGGGGCCAAGGGCTGATTGTGCCTGGCTGCCCACAGGCCATCATGTAGTGCCAAGAGCCAGCCTGGGAGAATCTGATTAAGGGCAGTATGGAAGTGGGCCTGTGCTTGGGCCTTGGTGGCCAACCTGGTTTTCCATCTCCCTGGCCACCTGGGTCTTGGGGTTAACCAGACCATGGAAAGCAAGGAGACAGCCACACCACAGGGCTGTTGCCTGAGGCCTGGCTGTTGAGCCCTCTGTTGGTCCCCCTCACCTTCCTGGACTAAGCAAAGGCCTTGCTCATTTCCCTTGTCAGTCCCCTACAGAGACCAACCCAGGCTACCTGAGCACCCTCGTCAGCCTCCTCACAGCTAGATCTGCTAATAGTCTCTGGGCATGAGGTTGCCATGGTGATGAGTTGCTGGATTGGAGGGCTCTCCACTGACTTGGACGTGCTAGAGCCAGTCTGAGCCAGTTCCAGCAGGGGGCCCAATGAGTGCTGGGTTTGGGGACAGCTCCCCTAATACCAACCCTACTGACCCGATAATAAATTAGGCCTGGGGGCTTTCCGCTTTGCCAGTGCATGAGATTCCTGGAGGCCTCAGACATTTCCCACCTCTCCAGGGAAACCACAGGTTCCTGGCTTGGGCCAGTGGGGTATAACCATCCATCCTGCCTGTTCCCTGGCCTGGCGCAAAGACTCCCAGATTTGTCCTGAGGCCACCATGTCTGAGCTAAGGTGGGCAGTGAGGGAAGGGGATAAGCAAACAGCACAAGAAAAACTTGGGGTACACAGGGCTGGGCTTGTCTTCACTGGGCCTCAGCAGTTTCAAGCCAGACCTGGGTCCTTCCTCCAGGTCATTTCCTCCAAAAGAAGACAAATTCCCACTGCAAGGGAATCCTGCCACTGAGGAAGGAGTCAGGCCCCAGATCCAGGACAAGGGCACCTCCATCCCCAGGATCTGCACAGAATGGTGGGCACAGAGGAGCTGGGTACATAAGCCATGTCCAGCTCTGTCTCCCGCTGGAGCCCTTGTCCTCTTACCCCACTGACCCCTGACAAAGAGGTGAGCAGAGGAGTGGGCCTTTCCAGGAAGCGAGCCTGGCACAACCACTTAGCAAAGCTGATGGAAAGGCTGGAGGCCAGGGATCTGTGCACTCACAGGGGTCCTCTGCTTCCCCAAACACCTAGATGGGCTTTGTCCCACCAGTGGCCTCTCTTTTGTCCTTCACAGGGCCCTCTCCTGGGTCTCCTATGCCCACCCATACCTAAGCCTCCTCAGAAACCAACAACAGACTAACAGTGGCACCAAGATTGAGCTGATTCACCCATCAGTGTGTGGCGAGAGGCTACCTAAGCTGCAGGTGGGGACTCAGGTGACCACAACCCAAGAGGCAGTGTTTCAAGCAGGAAGACAGTCCTGGGACAGATCCTCTTGAAACCACCTCCTGCTAGCAGAGGTACAGGTTCTTGTAATCCTCAAGGTCCTCTAGCCTCGGAACAGGTAGGCTCCTGGCCAGAGTCCTCACTGGCAGCAGAGAGGAGCTTGCCCCTGGAGGCAGTCACCAGAGGGCATGGTACTTTGCACTGTCAACTGCCATGGAGCTTGGCATCCAGAGCCTGATGCTTCTAGGCCCTAAGGAGGAAGAGTCACTCTCCACACCTGCCAGACCCTTTCCAGCTTGGAGTCCTGAGTATGCACACAGCTGGGCCTGAAAAGTGTGGCTTTTCTTCACTTGCACAATCGGTCCTGGTCTTCCTGTGGTCCCTGTGTGCTGACTCCATCCAAGAAGGTTGCCCAGATGCCTGCTACAGATCCCTGCTGAGAGATGTCCTGCCCCTGTGCTGGCCTTGACAGCAGCTGTCCACTGGTTCAGGGCAGTAGAGTCAATGACTTCCTCAGAGCAAGGTCTGGGACCCAGGCACCAGGAGGGAGTAGCCTGCCTTTTCTGCCCACTGCCAGGGTCACAAACAAGGATAGACTTCCACCCCTACCCATACATACAGCAGGGAACTAAGTCTTGGAGAGACCAGCAGTCCACCCCACTGATGGGGAGGATTCTAGTGGACACTGACTTGCTACAAACTGAGACTGGCCCACTGAGGCACCCCAATAGCCCCAGGGATGCAGCTATTATCCTCCCTTTACAGACAAGGGGAAAGGAGGCATCAGGCACCCGACATGATGTGCAGGGCAGGGATGAACGGGGCTAGGCTCTGACCCAGGTCAGTCTGACTTCAGTCTCAGAAAAGGTGGGCAGAGAATGTAGGAAGGGGTCAACAACCTCCCCCCGCCAAACATCTGTTAGGGGAAGACCCCTGTGAATTATCCTATCCTAGGGAAACCGAGGCACAAAGCTGGCTTTGTGTTCTAGCCTGTTGTGTGGCCTCGACAAATCAACTCTCAAGTTGGATCGATTTACCTACCTGTTAAAGAGCAGTGAGTCTCCAAGAGCCTAACCAGCCTGGAAGTCTAAAGGTTAGCCTTATGGGCTGGAGCCCCTCCTGAGAGACTGGCAGCTGCCCCGCCCCCAGCTTCCTGTTTACAAGCAGCTGCAGACTCATCCCTTCACCCCAAAGCCAATATGATCACCATGGCAACCAGACCGTGTTTGTTTCAACAGGTTGTCAGAACCGGAGGTAAGACTGCTAGGTCGGAGGCTCAGCTCACATCCTGGGAGGGAGGTCAGCTGCCCACGTCCCAACTCCCATTGTCTTCAGAGGGACAGCTGGGAACCCACGGTCCAGCCCCATTCTCCTGCTTACTTGGACATCCCTGTCCCAAGCAGGATACATTTCCTGAGCTCTCCCTCCAACACTCCATTTTCCTGGCTAGATTGGATCAGGATGGAGATGGGAAAGGAGGACACATCCCATGGTCCTGTCTCCCTCACCCTGCCATCCTGTGCTGTCTCCTATCCCCTGCAGACAGGTGTGGGGCTGGGGATAGATGTGAGGTAGAATCTAGAACTCTAGACAGGGGGCAATGTCACTCAGTCCCAGGGCAAGGGGAAAAGCCACCTGGAAAAGTGTCCTGAGCTGGGGAACAGTGCCCAGGCTGTAACCTTCTGAGCTCCCTCTCCAGTGCCCAGTAATGAGGACAGGGGGACAGCTAGGACAAGGAGTATTGTACACAGTGATCTGCAGACAGGCCTCTGCCAGACCTCTGTTTTGGAAGTTGGTGCCAGCCTTTTCAGCTGTGCTGAGAAGGTGCCTGGCCTGCCTCTGCCTGTTTGCTCTTCACAGGGCTGAGGTCGCACTGCTAAGGACCCACCCTCTGGAGAAAAACTTTCCCCACATCTTAAATTGCAGTACCCAGCAGAGGCAGAGCTGGGCCTAGGGGGTTACTGTGCCTCTCCAACAACCCCAGGTGCCCCGGCAGCCCCAGGACAGCCTGTAGCTCTCCAGGCCCATGGGGGGCAGCTTGTTAGAGACTAGCAGACCAACAGGTGTGTTTAACAAGCCTTCAAAATTGCCCAAGATGGTGGCAAACACCTATATGTAATCCCAGCACTTGGGAGGCTGAGGCAGGAGGATCGCAAAAATTGAGCCCCAGCTTGAGCAATTTAGCCAGACCTTGTCTCACAAAAAGCCCTGGGGATTAGCTCAGTGGTTAGTTCAATCCCCGGTACCAAAAAAAAAAAAAGGGGCCTGGGAATGTAGTTCAGTGTGAAGGCCCTGAGTTCAACCCCAGCACCGCAAAAACAAAAACAAAAAAAGCCTTCCAGGCGACCGTGGTGGGGCTGATTTGAGCAGCTGGGATGGAGGCTGGAGGGGATGGGGATGGGGAGGGGGAGCCGGGGTCCAACTGGCTATGACCTGGCAAGGGACAGTGGCCAATTTGGGCCTCCCACTGGGCTGTCTTGGGGCGCCCCGATTTGGTTCTGCGAGCCCCGCTCTCTCCCCGGCGGAGACCCCCTCCGACAGCCCCCCAGCCCCGCCCACCCCGGGACCTCTCCCTCCGCCCCGCGTTGGTCCGGTCCCGAGCCGCGAAGAGGCCCCGCCCCTTCCCCAAGTTCGTCCGCCCACCGCCCGAACGCGGGGCTGTCTCCAGCGAGCACTGCTGAGAGCGGTCGCGGGGCCTCGCAGTCCCCAGCCCCAGCGACAGCCGCGCCCGCAGGAGCCCCCTGGTCCCAGCGCCCTCGGTGAGTGCCGCAGGCTTCAACCCTGTGCCGTCGGGGCCCGGCCTGGCGCCCACCCGGACGGACCGACGGACGGACAGACGTAGACCCAGGTTCGAACACTGGCGTCTGCGCTCTGCTCGCTGCGGGCCGGGGGTGGCGGACAGGTCGCAAAGACGCGCCCGCGACCCTGGGGAAACTGAGGCTGGCGTGCTCGGAGAGGCGGGGCCGCGGTCGTGATTTCTCCTGTTTTTGCTCGCCTCCCCTCGGAGCGCGCAGTTCGCAGTTCGGGCGCGGCGGCAGGGTCTGCACTGCAGGGCGCGGGGGAGGGGAGCAGAGCCGCACCTGCGAGCCTGGATTGGGGACCAAAGGGACCACCGGCCCCCGACCCCTCCAGAGGGAGCTGCAAATAGAGGAGGAGCAAGGACACCGGAGACGCTCCGCGGGGCTTCCCTGCGACCTTCTGGCGGGACCCCCTTAACCTTTGGCCGATGAGCCCGCCCCACCCCCACCCCGCGCTCCCCGGGAAATTTCCCTCCCCTAGCTGGGGGTGAAACAGTGCACGCCAGACCAGTCCCAAATACCCGTGGACCTACCCCTTCCAGGGGGAGCAAGACCCTGGGGAACTGAGGGCCAGGGGAGGGAGGGGCATCTCGGCAGAGCCAGGTGAGAAAGGTAAGAGGGGCCTCTGTGGAAGCACCCCGAGCCTCATCCTGCGGGTGGTCCTGAGAGGCCCAGGTCCACCTGTGAGCAGCACCCCCCCCCACACACACCGTAAACTGGACCTCCCTTCAGCAAAGCCAGGTAAGATGCACTTGGGCACTGCCCTGCCTCTGCAGGGGACACTGAGGCCAGGGGGACACCTGGAAATCCAGACCCCGTGAGAGCAGGCGGGAAAAGGGAGAAACACACCACAAAAAAAAGACCATGGGTAGGGAGTTCGGGAGAGCCAGTGGGGCAGGCAGACATCCTGTCCCACCAGGGCGCACCCTTGTCCAGTCTCAGGAATCCAAATGCACGAAGAAGGGAGCCCCCCAACCTCAGGGCTCTGGAGATGTTTATAATGGACTGGGAATCAAGAAGGCCTTCCAGGCTCTCCTCAGCTGCCCCCAAATCCACCTGCATCGGTGCCCCATCCGTCAAATGGCCTAACGGGACAGCTTGGCTTGCCAGCCCTAGGTTCAAATCTTGGCTCTGGAGAAGGTGCCCAGACTGGGTTGTGACATGAACCAGGGGTACGGTACCACTTTTTGCCCAGTGGCCAAGGGTGGGCCATTAGGTTTGGCTCAGCCTCAGAGTTGGATGGCAAAACCTATCTGGTCAGCCCTTACCTCACTCATTGGACAAAAGCAGTGGATTTTGGCCCTGGTACCAGTAGTCACACGCACGGATGTGAGCATGTTCTGCTCTGTGCTGCTGTGTGGAGATTCTGAGGGTGATATGGGGGACAGAGTCACATCTAAGCCCACAAACAGATGGGATCCCCTATGCTTGACTACTGGGAACAAGGTCTCTGCCTGGGGCACAGTCAGAGCATCCTTGACAGGTAGCTCCCAGGACCCTGCTTGTTGGGTCAACAAGGTTAACTGCTGCTCAGGCAGCCCCAGGGTTTCCTGAGGGCCAGGCACAGCATGGCAGTTTTGGGTACCAGGATGAGCCATCTCTTGTGGACACTAGTGCTGAGATGCTGCTGTTGGCTCCATCCTAGAAATGGGCTGAGGGGTGGGGAGCAGCTGGATTTAATCCTCAGGCTGTCCCAGTTTAATGCTGGGACACCGGAACCTCAGTCCCAGGCTGCCATCTGCTGGCTGTGTGGCCTAGGGCAGGTTCATCTGAACACCCCGGGGGGGGCGGGGGGGTCCATCTGAGCAGCATTCCTATCTCAGATTGGCCACAGGTGTTAACAGGTGAGATGCTGAGTAAAAAATGCAGATGGGGCATCTGGCTCCCTTTTGCCTAGATAATTTGTTCTCATTGAGACACCTAGCCCAGCAGCTCAGGCTGCTGAGCTCCTGCGTCATATTTGTCTCTGGTATCCAGAGCTCCCGTGGCCCTTCACACTCAGATGTGCTGGTGGTTGCCCTGGCAACAGCTCACACAGAGGCTGCTCTGCAGGCTTAGGGGACAGGGGGTACAGCCTCTCTGCTGTCAGTTCAGCTACGGAGAAGAGGGGCCTATGACTCCCAGCCCCCAGGCACCTCAGGACTGGTTATGGGGCAACAGCTTTGTGTGTGTGTGTGTGTGTGTGTGTGTGTGTGTGTGTGTGTGTGTGTGTGTGTGTGATAGGGTTTGTTTTTGTTTTGTTTGTTTTTTGATACTGGGGATTGAACACAGGGCCTTCACCATACAGCCCTTATTATTTTGTATCGCCAGTCATTATTTTGTTGTTATGTGGGGTTTTTTTGGTACCGGGATAGCAGAACCACTGAGCTAAATCCCCAGCTTTTTTTTTTTTTTGGTGCTGGGGATCAAACTTGGGACCTTGAGCTTTTGAGGCAGTCGAGGGAACCACTGAGCTAAATCCCCAGCTTTTTTTTTTTTTTGGTGCTGGGGATCAAACTTGGGACCTTGAGCTTTTGAGGCAGTCGAGGGAACCACTGAGCTAAATCCCTGGTGAGGCAACAGTTTTTAAAACACTACGCCCATGGGCCAGGGATTTAGCTCAGTGGTTCTGTTGCTTGCCTTGCAAGTGCAAGGAACCAAGTTCGATCCCTGGTACCAAAAAAACCCCCACTATGCCCAGCCCATTGCCCACCCCCCCAGGTTTGGGAGGAGGATGGTGGAGAGCACATAGAGGTTTAAAGGCAGCAAGGGCCGGGGATTTAGCTCAGTGGTTCTGGCACCTGCTTCGCAAGTGCAAGGTCCTGAGTCCCATCCCCAGTACCCAAAAAAAAAGCAGCAAGGCTTTATTTTTGGCCCCTGAGTGCTGCCCCCTCAAGGGTGAAGATCTGCCTAACCAGCTTCTTCCTTGTTCTCTACTCTTGAGACTGGCCAGACAACAGCCTTGAGTCAAGTACCTTGCTGGGCTCACCAGGACCCTGGCTAGAGTGTAGGGAACAGTATGAGGTGTTGCAGAGGGGTGCTGAGTTAGTGCGGGGCACAGACTGGGGTAGGGACCCTCCCCGCATGCCAGCTGCAGCAGGCAGCTTGCTCAGCATCTGTCTGCAGCCACCAGCTGCCAGATGTGCCCAGCTGGGATGTTTTGGCTGATCTCATTGCTAAGGTGGAGACAGCAGTAGGTGGTGAACAGGGCCAGCCTGGCTTGGGCCTCAGAGCCATCTAGCATGGCTCTCCCTCTCTTAACTGCTCCTGAGCTCTTGGGCAAGGAGCGGAATCTGCTGAGTTTATTTGCTTTTGTAAAACGGAAGTAACTGTCCCCCTTTACAAGGGCTGATGTGCGTGGGTAGATGAGTAAGCATCAGTGAGGGAGGGACACCCAGACAAAAGTTCAAAGGCCTTGTGGCATGGGTGGTGGTCTGGGGGTAGAGTGCATCCTATAGACCAGAGGATGGTGAGGTGGGGCAGGGAAGCCAAGGGGTGGGCCCGTGTGACAGAGGTGGCCAGCGCTGTGTGGGCACAGGGCCAGAGGGTTTTGCACGGCCCAGGGCAGAGGTAGGTGTCTGGGGGGAGTGGTGTCGTAGAAGATGGGGACTCAGGAGGTCCCGGTCCCCGGCTGTCATCCTTCCCTTCAACTTGGGGCCTTCAGGGGAAACTCAGGTTCCACTGAAGAGGGGACATTGAGTTGAGCTTCCCTCCAGGATACGGGTGGGCTAGGCTTGAGGGCCCAGAAAGAAATGTGAGCGGCAGGACTTCTCGGGGGATCCTGGGCCTGCCACCTGGAAAGGGAAAGTGTCATCTTCGGCATTCATGGCCAAGACTGCTGCTTTGTCCCATGCTGTCTCAGCCCCCACCACCCAGACCTGCTCATTCTGAGCCCTGTTTCTGCCCAGGTTCATAGCAGAGTGACAGGGAGTAGGCTGAACAGGCTCCACTCCAGGCAAAGGACTGCTCTCTGTCCCAGCAGCTGTGACATAGGGGTAGCTCCTGCTGCTACAAGTGGGATGTACCAGGCTGGCTCAGTTCCCACTGCAACAGGAGAGTAATTGACAGGATGGACTGGGGGAGAAGGGCTGGCCTTTCTCAGCTGGGTCACACACTTGGGTTTCATTGGCACCAACTATGGAGAGCAAGCTCTGCTTTAGGGGGTGGTGCCCTCCTAGTTTTTCTTTTCTTTTTTGAACCAGGGTCTTGCTATATAGTTCAGGCTGACCTTGAACTCACTATGTAGCCCAGGCTGGCCTCAAAATTGCAGCAATCCTCCTGCCTCAGCCAGAGCTGAGGATTACATGCTTGCAGTACCATTTGTGGCTCCACTCCATCCCCAACCATTTTTTCTGACCAGCCCCTGGGGCAAGGAGGTTTGCTTACTGGGTGAAGATCCCGAAAAGCCTCCTCCTAAGCATCCTGGCCATGTGAGTGGCTGCTCATTGGCCCAGGACATGGTTCCCCATGTGGTGGTTTGGCCTCCTGCAGAAAGGGCCCAAGTGGTTGTGGGGCCGTGGGAGTTGGGCACTGCTCCCCAGTATCCTGGCCCTCTTGGTGAGGTCTCAGAGGCACAGATGTTTCCTGTCATGCTGTCATAGGTACCATGGGCACTTTTGGAGCCCCAGTCCTGAACTAGGGGTGACAGAACAGTCCCTACCTGGTAAGATCTCAGCAGCTCCACATGGAGCTCTGCCCCCGAGATGGAAACCGCCACCATTTTGATGGCATTTGCCACCACATCCCCAATCCCATTCTGCAGGAGGAATGGAGGGCCAATAGATCACCTGGCAGGTGTGGTGGCTGGAGTCCTTGAAGCCCCCAGGGGGACCCAGCACACTGTCTTTCCTCTTGGTCTCCAGCCTGCTACCCCCCTACTGTGGGCTTAGTGATGCCTGGCCCAAAGTCATGGGCACACTCTGCTGCAGGTTCCCACCATGTCCACTTTGCTGGAGATCAAGAGCAGCGTGCTCCGGCAGGTGCAAGTGTGCCCATCCTTCCGCCGCAAGACAGAGCCAGAGCCCGGGAGCACCAGTGCTGACCTGCCAGAACCTGCCACCGGTGCCTGGTGGGTACTTGCTCTGGGTGGAAGTGGGGCTGTGAGGGTCTGTGCTCAAGGCCATGAGCATGCTGGGCATCACATCACACTGCTCCTGTCCTGTGCGTGACCTCCTGCATCCTGTGGCTCAAGTGCTGACTGGCCTCTTTCCAGGAAACCTGGGGATGGCATGGAGTTCTTTGCCCACATGCGCCTCATCCTGAAGAAGGAGGAAGGCAGACAAGGCCTGCCCTGTCCAGAGGTGAGACCACCCCTACAGGGTCTGGGGCTGCAACCCACCACCTGGATCATCCACTTCAACCTCTACCCACCTTCCTTTCCTTTCTCCGTGGAGCAGCCCTGTCTGTATAACCATAGAGTTGCAGCGGGGCAGCTACAGGACAAACCCCCCCCCCCCGCAAGACCCTCACCGCAGCACCTCTCACAGGTCCTCTTACGGAGCAGCTCTCCAGCCCCTGCTGAACCTGTGGACTCCAACCGTGGCCTGAGAGCCCTGACCCAGGAGGAAGTAAGGGTTGGGGAGGGCCTATGGCCTGACCTCTGTTCCTGAGATTGTGGGACCTGGGGTCCGGTGACAGGTGGACAGCAAAGGTGGGCATGGTGGTTGAGTGGAGATAGCAGCTGTGGAGGCACTGGGAAGGGACTTTGCTCCACTAGGGAGGCACTGCTTGGGGCTGGGCATGCAGCCTGTGGCCAGCAGGGGCCTGAGACCCACCCCGCTGCAGCTGGCCAGGGACTCAGAACCTGGCCCCCACAGGTGGAGATGCTCTATGAGGAGGCCTTGTATACAGTCCTCCACCGGGCTGGCACCATGGGCCCCGACCAGGTGGATGATGAGGAGATCCTTCTGGGCTACATCCAGCAGGTGAGCTGGCAGCCTCACCCACCCCACCCCACTCTGGTGAGGACTGAAACTCCTTTACACTGGTGTCACTGTCACCTCAGCAACACAACACACAATGTGTGCATAGACAAACACCTGCACAGACACGTATGTGCACAGATGGACACACAGGCTGACACATCTGGAAGGATGGAGAGATGGTTAGATATGTGGACATACATGCAGAGGACATGAGGCAGATGGACACAGAAAAGGTTGTAGAGGACAGGCAGATGCCCAGAGGGGGTGGACAGACACTTTCCACCCTATATGTGTGCTTTAAACTCCTGGTCCTGGCCAGCACTCCACAACTGTTTTTGCATGTGCCCTCGCCTGCTGACACCGCACCTGGCATCGCAAGTGTATGTCCATGCCTTGCCTGCACCCTGCTCCAAACCTTCCTAGGACAGATAGAGGGTGGGCCCCACTCCCTTATGTTGCCGTCTTCTAAGGCAACATACTTGGTCATTCCCTTCCCGCCTAGAGTGCCCAGGGTCCCCAGAAAGCGACCAGCTTCTCTCTGGGGCTCACCTGGGCCCTGGATACCACCCATCTCCACAGGTGTTTGGCACCAGCCCTGAGGAACACATTGAGGCCATCGAGCGTGTAAAGAAAGCCAAAGTAAGGTCACTGCCTGTGCAGCTGGGGACTAGGGGAGGGCAAGGGATGGGTGGCCATGCTCACGCAGACACCACACAGTGCCGCAAGTTCACTGGTGCTCCTCCGTCTACAGGCCCCCACTTATACCCTGAAAGTCTCCGTTATGCGTGCCAAGAACCTTCTGGCCAAAGACCCCAATGGTGAGTGGGGCCCCAGAAGACCCTGGTTGTGCCCAGGCCTGGCAGCTGTGGAGGACAGAGGGCAAGGGTCAGGCTGAGGCACCTGCCCTGTCTCAGGCTTCAGCGACCCGTACTGCATGCTGGGCATCCTGCCAGGCTCAGGCACCCCTCGGGAGCAGAGTGGGCAAAAAGAAAAGCGCTTCAGTTTCCGCAAGGGCAGCAAGCACAGCAGTCCGCTGCCGGCCAAGTGCATCCAGGTCACAGAGGTCAAGAGCAGCACCCTGAACCCTGTTTGGAAGGAGCACTTCCTATTGTAAGGCCCCCCAACCCCACTGGTGGCTGAGTGTCTCAAGGGTGATGCTCACAGGTTCCCAGTCTCTGCTGCCCCAGGAACTCTGAGGGGGGATGGTCATATGCCTAGTTAGGAAACTGAGGCCCAGAAAATGTCTTGCCCCTGAGGCCATACAATTGGCAATAGGTGGCAGAGCCAGGATTTGGAACTTTAAGCCTGTCTGGATATCTGGAATTTATGCCCACTCCCTGCTCCCCCTACCCTAGCCCCTGCCCCAGGCAGAGGCTTGCCCAGGCCCCTCATGGCATCTCTGTGTTCCTTATAGTGAGATCGAAGATGTCAGCACAGACCAGCTGCACCTGGACATCTGGTACAGGACCCTGAGCCCTGCAGGGCAGGGGAGTGGGTACCTTTGATCTGGGAAGTGAGGGGGGAATCTAAGCTGGTAGGAGCTACAGACAAGCCGCCTCCTTTCCAGGGATCATGATGATGATGTGTCCCTGGCAGAAGCATGCAGGAAGTTGAATGAGGTCATCGGCCTCAAGGGGATGAGCAGGTATAGCGAGTAGGATCCTTGTGGCCCACCCTTCTGGCCCAAGCCTTCTGCTTGACCACAGGTACTCGGGGGGGGGGGGCTCCCCAGTGACCCCCAGCATGATGCCACCCTGCTGTGCCCAGGTACTTCAAACAGATTGTCAAGTCAGCTCGTGCAAATGGAACACCAGGGCCCACAGAGGACCATACTGATGACTTCCTGGGGTGTCTCAATATCCCTGTCCGGGTATGTGAGCGCAAGATGGGGTAGTTACATTCTGGGAGCAGTGGTTGTGTCCTGGGTTCCCCCAAGCCTCCTACCTTCCCTGAGCTGCAGGGAAAGGGGCCACCCTCAGCCACCTCTTGCACTTGGGCCCCATGAATGTTCCCTACATCTTTCCCAAGGCCCCCTGGAGTCTCTGTGGGAGGGGAGGTAGGGAGTCCCCTAGGTCAGACTTTTCTCCACTTGCCTCTCTCAGGAGGTGCCAGTGGCCGGTACTGACCGTTGGTTCAAGCTGGAACCACGCTCTAGCGCCTCACGTGTTCAGGGAGACTGCCACCTAGTCCTCAAGCTTATCACCACACAGGTGGGGAGTCATGGGGAGCCTGCCCTGAGTCCTGAGCCCCAGGCCCCAGGCAGAGCAGTGACCACAGGCCCTATATTCCAGAGGGACACCGTCATGAGCCAGCGTGGCCGCTCTGGCTTCCTCTCCTACCTGCTCCTCCTGAGCCGAATAATGCAGTTTGAGCACCGAGCAGAGGAGGTAGCAGGCACCCTGGGAAGTGGGACAGCTGGGTAGAAGCTTGAGGGCAGATGGAGGGATCTCCCATCTCTATCCACCCTGGCCTCCTCTCCTAGTCAAATTCAAGCAGCTGGCATGGCGAATTCAGCGCGCCTGGGTCCACAGTCCTCTGCCTGCATGGAGCCCAGAGTAACCTGTCACCCTTGCAGCTGGCCGTGCTGTGAGTAGGCAGGATGATGATATGGACTGGGTTCCATGGTATGGCAGGACCAGGTGCTGCCTGACCTTGGGCTGGGCCCCTACAGGCACTGGCAGGTCAGCAGCCGCCACCATCAGACCTGTACGCTGGACTATGGCTACCTGCTGGGGCTGCTGGAAGACATGCAGGCACATTGGGAAGAGGCAGCCTCACTGCCCCAGGAGCAGGTGGGTGCTTGCACTGTCATGGGCTTGCCTGCTATTGGTGAAGAGTGTGCTGGGGTCACCCCTGCTCTGTGTGGGCAGGAGGGGCAGAATCCTGCTCTCAGGTTGAAAACAAACAATCGGAGAGAGCACACGTGCCATGCTGTAAGGAGAGGGGTCTGTGTTGGAGTAACCTGGGGAAGGAGGCCATGGATATCAGCACTGAGGTGGTGAGGGTCTGAGCAGTAGGAGGGAGTAGATGATGGGAGGATGGGCAGGAGAACAGTAGGTGCAAAGTTCCTGAGGGAGGACTTGGTGAGGGCAGGGCAGGGGGAGTCTTGGAAGTCAAGATGGAATCACATTAACAGGGGGGCCACCCGGGAGGGATCAGTGGAGGGGCTTTAGCAGAACAGAGCCAGGCAGGCCTGGGATGGCCATGTGGTGGGGTGGGGACTGCTGCAGGAGGGGCAGAGGTGTTTCTCAGCATCTGTGAGCAGGGCTGGCAGGTAGCTCCTGCATCTTTAGCTCTGAAGGGCCCTGTCCCTACCCCTAGGAGGAGATTCTGGCTGACAGCTTCTCTGCCTTCTCTGAGTATGGGCTGAAGTTGCTCCGCCAGCTCAGAGATTACTTCCCTGCCACCAACAGCACAGCCGTCTACCGTCTGGAGCTGCTGCTAAAGTGGGTGTTGCATGACTGTGGGGTGGTGAGAGGGTTGGCCAGAGCAGATCCTGGAGGAGGACCTTCAGGGGGCCTGAACCATGACCGTACACCTGAACTCCAGGTGCCTGGACAAGCTGCAGTTCTTCCAGCCCTCCTTTGAGATGTGTCCCTTTGAGACGGAGCTGAATATGGACATTGCTGCTGCCCTGAAGGTGTGTTTGGATCCCTCTGGCCCTGCCCAACCTATGTTCTGTGACTCCTCCCCTGTCTGTCCCTCTTCCCTGTCTCTCTACCCTACCATGCTGCCTGGTGGCTTCCTCTGCAGAGAGGCAACCGTGAGTGGTACGACAGGCTTCTGAACACTAAGAGTCCCCGAGAGCAGGTGCGGGTTAGCAGGGCTTGGCCACGGTGGGTGCAGGGGCCTGAGCAGTGAATACAAGCCAAGCCTCCTTACAGCCAGGGCCCCAGCGCCTCACCGGGCTTGTGGAGCTAGCGGACATCATCTATGAGGACCTACAAGCTTGCTATGGCATCTACGCCAGCCTCTTTCATGGGTAGGTCCTGCTGCTCAGCACCCATATGGAGCAGGTGGGGCTGACAGGGCCAGCAGGGCGGTAGGTGGCTGAGGCATGTCCTTTGCAGTATCCTCAAGGTGGACTTCTTCACCCTTACCTTCTGGCAACTAGAGCATCTGGTGAGGAGGGCCCCGACTGGGGGTGCCTGCTGGGCATGGGGGAGCAAGGAGAGCCCTCCAGCTAAGAGGGGCCTTGGTTCTTTTGGTGGTGGTCTGACACTCCTCCCAAATCTGGGCAGTTGGCTGAGGAGGCATGGGTGCTAACTGAGGAACTGAGCCCCAAGATGACTCTCCAGGTGGCCTCAGGGCTCATTGAGCTGTATCTGACCCTGGCTGATACCCAACGCTTTTGGAGTTGCATCCCTGGCCGGTAGGCAGCTCCTGATCCCCTGCTTCTCCAGATAAGCTCTGGGATTGAAGCCCCAGGGCCCTGTGCTGGAGGCTGCCCTGGGTGTCTGAGGAGGGACATGCTCTGACCACGTTCCCACGACAGGGATGGCCGCTCCCTGGCCCTGGCTGGCATCCATACCCCATTCCTGCCTGCTGTGAAGATCTGGCTACAAGTGCTGAGAGATCAAGTCAAATGGCGCCTCCAGGGAGCAGTAGATGTGGACACGGTGAGTCAGCATTTGGGTGTAAGGACACTGGGGCTTGTCCTGTGCCATCTATGATGCAGACTGCCGCCTACCTTCCAGCTGGAACCTGTGGATACCTCCTCCAAGCACAGCAGCTCTGCAGCCACTGCCAGCCTCTGCTTCAGCCACATCCAGGAGCTCTGGGTCCGCCTTGCATGGCCTGACCCTGCCCAGGCTCAGGAGCTTGGGACTCAGCTCAGCCAGGTGTGGCATCTGGGGGATGGGGAAGCAGGTTGGGAGGACTGTGAGGCCTAGGAGGAGCCCCAGGTCCCACCCTCCACCCCCAACTCACCCCAGGACATGTGTGAGGCAGCCCTCTTCTACTCGGAGCTGCTGCGGAAGAAAGTGGACACCCAGCCTGGGGCTGTTGGCGAGGCAGTGAGCGAGCCGGTGGGTGGCTGGCTGGGCAGGTGAGGCTGCAGGTGGCTGGGTGGGGCTGCCCCTGACTGCACCCACCTACCTCTGCCCCCCCTCCCCAGCTTTGCGTGGTGCTCAACAACGTGGAGCTGGTGCGCAGGGCTTCAGGGCAGGCACTGCGGGGTCTGGCCTGGCCTGAGGGTGCTGGGGGAGTGGAGGCTATGCTTCCCCGCACCCTGCTCAGCTGCACACAGGCCCTGGAAGAGGACCTGCAGCGGGAGGCCCACACTGTGACTGCACATCTGACCTCCAAGGTGGGCAGTGGGCCACAGCCTGGTGTGGGGGCTGTCCCTGGTGTCCCCCACCTAGTGCTGAGGATCATCCCTGCAGATGGTAGCTGACATCAGGAAGTATGTGCAGCATATCAGCCTCTCTCCTGACTCCATTCAGAATGATGAGGTGTGTGGGGGGGGGCGGGCGGTGAGCAGAAGTGTGGATGTGTGTATATACCAGGGGCAGCTGGGTTCTAGGTTCTGGCTAGCCCTGAGGATGCCTGCCCACAGGCTGTAGCTCCACTCATGAAGTACCTGGATGAGAAGCTGGCCCTGCTGAATGCCTCCTTGGTAAAGGAGAACCTGGGCAGGTATGGGTTAGGCAGGTATGGGCTGTGCAGGTGGGGAGTGTGTGGGCTGGTGGTCACCCATGCTGTGTCCTTGCAGGGTGCTAGAGGCCCTCTGGGAGCTGCTCCTCCGGGCTATTTTGCGGGCGCTGGGTGCAAACAGTGACGTCTCTGCAGACTTCTACGGGCGCTTCCACTTCACACTGGAGGTAAGCCACGTAGAGCTCAAGGGACCTCCCCTGTCCCCTGCCAGGATATCCAGCCTCTGCCAGCTCCTCCAGGGCTCAACAGGCAGCACTTCTTCCCCATAGCCCAGCTGCACCTGGGCCACCTGGGATGACAGCTTTGGGGCCTCAGGGGCTGTCACCTTCTCAGGCTTCCTGGGACCTGATGCATCCAGGTGTGAGAAATGGTTTGCTGTAATTCCCTAGACCCACAGCTGCTCAGCTTCCTGACATCTCCTTTTTTTCCCTGAACCAGGCTCTAGTTAGTTTTTTCCATGCTGAGGGCCAGGGACTGCCCCTAGAGAGCCTCAAGGATGGAAGCTACAAGGTAAGGCCTGGCCCTTTAGGGGCCCAGCTGCACCAGCTGCCTTGCAGCAGACCAGGCAGCCTAGGCAGGGTAGATGCTACCTCACAGACAACCTGGCTGCCTGTGGCCAGTGCTGACTACTTATCATTGGGTCCCTTTCCCTGCAGAGGCTGGAGGAGGAGCTCCGGCTGCACAAATGCTCCACACGTGAGTGCATTGAGCAGTTTTACCTGGATAAGCTCAAGCAGGTAAGATGGGCACTGTCTGCTGTCCATGCCAGCTGTACCCCAGAGCCCCAGCTCTGCTCACTCAGGTTTCCCACAGAGGGCCCTGGAGCAGAACCGGTTTGGTCGCCTGAGCATCCGCTGCTATTATGAGGCAGCTGAGCAGAGGCTGACAGTGGAGGTGCTGCATGCTGCAGACCTGCTCCCCCTGGACACCAATGGTAGGGCATGGTGGTGGCAGGTTGGGGGGCCTGGTGGGAATGACTTGCTCATGGCCACATACTCCCTAGGCTTGAGTGACCCTTTTGTGATTGTGGAGCTGGGCCCCCCACATCTCTTCCCACTGGTCCGAAGCCAGAGGACCCAGGTCAAGTCCCGGACGCTGCACCCTGTATATGACGAGCTCTTCCACTTGTGAGTGCCCCTACCTACCTTAACCTATCCCACAAGGCTATAGGTGGTTCCTGACTGTCCCCTAACTGCCCTATAAGCAGCTCTGTGTCCGCCGAGGCATGCCGCCGCCGTGGGGCCTGCGTGTTATTCACTGTCATGGACCATGACTGGCTATCCACCAATGACTTTGCTGGGGAGGCAGCCCTCGGACTAAGTGGGGTCAGCGGCATCTCAAGGCCCCAAGTAGGTGGGGGAATGAGGGCAGGGCAGCCCATCACCCTGCATCTTCGCCGGCCCAGAGCCCAGGGTAAGTGAGTGTGAGGAGGTGGTGAGGTCAAGGGAGGGGAGGCACGACCCCACACACCTGCCCATCTGCCTGCAGTGAGGTCAACACTGAGGATGCTGGAGGGCCGCACCAACAAAGAAGCACAGGAATTTGTCAAGAAGCTCAAGGAGCTGGAGAAGTCCATGGAGGCGGATCCCTGAGTGCGTGCATGTGCACACACGCACACACATATACACACCCACCCTGCCAGCTGCCCAGTTTTGTGCTGCCTTTATCTGCTCCTCTATCTGAACCCTGTGGCACCATTACCCTCGCTGTGTCCCTTTGGTGTGTGCTATGGACCTCTTGCACCTCAGCATGCCCCACCCCAAGTAGGGGGGGCAGCTTGGAAGGAGCTGGCCAACAGTGGCCCCTGGACACAGCAGGACAGAATGGACCTAGTCAGGTGATGCCCTTCCTTTGGGCTCACAGACAGTGGAACAATGGGCAGATGGTTTTAGTGGTCTCTTGTTCCCTAGGGGCCATTAGGCAATGTCTGGAGACTGTGGTCACACTGGATGTGAAGGTGTACTAATTCCAGAGGGTGGTGGCCAGAGCTGCAGCTCAGTGTCCTGCATTGCTTCAGTCAGCCCCCAAAGAATGGTCCATCCCCACTATGAGCAGTGCCTCCGTGGAAAGCCCCTCTTGGAGAAAACCATGCAGTCTCCTTGGTTAGAAAAAGGCCCCCAGTAGTAGTCAAGAGGTAGGAAGAAGGCTGGGGGTCAGGTGTGGAGGACCCAAGAACTGGAGGGAAGCAATGACCAGAGCCCCAGGTGGAGGGCATGGACAAGAAAGTCCGCTGTGCTCACTATCCTTCTCCTGGGTCTGGACCCCACCCATAGTGGGCTGAACAGGGGAGGCTTGCTGAGGATCACAGCTCCCAGCTAGGTTCCTGGGCCTGGGAGAGGTTCCCTGAGGGTCACAGGTGGGGGACGTCACCCACAGCTCTGCCAGCCATCCATCCTTTCACGCACATGTGTAACCCCACAGCCCAACCCCCAACCCCCAGGCCAAGTGCACACACAGACTGGGGGCTCCTCAGTCCATGGCTTCATTGAGAGAGCATCAAAGCAGGACCCTGACACAGTAAGCCTATCCTTGTATTGCAACAAGCCCCACTCCGTCCACAACTGCCAGAGCTACTACTGCCAGTCCACTCCTGTGTCTCATTGCTGTCTCGAGTCCTTATTACCCCACTTCAACAATGTGTCTACACCCTTCAAACTGCCGTTTCTTGATTCCTTTCTAAATCTCAGTTGAGGCCCTGGCCTCATCCCCTTGTGCCAGAGTCTGCTCCTGGGAGCAGCTGTTTTCTTCTCCATCCTTGTCTTCAGGCCTTTGTTCTTCAGACTCGTCACTATCTGTGTCCATTGGCAGCCTGGAGGGAGAAGGATATGTTCCTTCATGGTGTCATACCTGGTCAGTCCAAGGCAGACCCCCTATGTCCTCACCCACAAGGACCCCAAGCCAAAGACCCCTCTCTGCCTGCTTAACCAAACCCTCACTGGTGCATGCGTCCTTTACATGCTCCAGTCACACCACTCCAGTGTCACTTAGGACACTCCTATGTGCAGGAAGAGCTAAGGCCAGGGGGTGAAGGGAAGCCAAGACTTACCGGATAGTAGCCACAGGCCTGTTGAGATTTGCAAACTCTCGCCCTGAATCCACGTCAAATGGGTCTGAAGAAAGGAAAGTGAGCTCTGTAAGTGAGCCCAAGGCAGATTAAACCCTACCCCAGCCTTTTCAGGAGGTGCACCCCTGGAGATGTTCCCATTCATACAGGCCTCACCAATTTCCTCCTCCTCATGGCTCTCCTTAGCACTGGCCAGGAACTCCTGCTCTGCTTGTAGCACCTCCTCAGGTCCACTGCAGGCTGCATACTTGTCCAGGAGCTGGCGGTTCAGGTGCATGAAACCTTTGCCCCACTTAAATTTCCGCAGCAGAATGACAGCAAGATCTGAAAAGCCTAATGGCACAGAAAACCTGAAGATCTCAATCTCTCTAGAGTAGTAGTGGGAAGCCTATGGTGTGTGTGCTGCAGTGGGCTATTTGTATCATGGCTCTAGAGAGTGTGTCCTTGTAACCCTGACTGCTGGGCAGTGTTACTGTGTCAGAGGGCTGAGGGCCCTCACCAGGCAACTTAAAAGAGTCGTAACAGACCATGCCTGCCCTCCAGCTTCTGCCTCTCTTGCTACAACCCCCATCTCTGCCATCCCTCTTTTAGTGAGAAACACAAGAGTCCCACCAAGCCTGTCTTCACATTTCATGGGCCTCCATTTAGGCCTTAAATTCCACAGATTCTCAGGGCAGTGCTGCCTTGACGAGAGACCCCCCCTGCCCACCTGGCAGGCAGCTGTCTCAGCCTCCACTCCCAAGTCTACAAAGCCAAGGCTCTAAGTAGGAGTTGGGATTGAAGGGCTGTCCTGATATCTGGGGTCTGCTGAGAAACCAATCCCAGGAGCACAGTCAGACCACCAGACCAGAACGCCAGGTTGGGCTAATGGCAGGCCTGAAACTCACCCACAATGCAGAAAGCAGCAGCAAACGCTTCCACACAGGAAAGTCTGCAAGGCCGGCCATAGTTTACAGGGTTCGCAGCCACCAGGTAGGGTAACAGTCTCAAGTGGTTCCCTCGAATCTTCCCAAAGGGCGTCTCATCCAGTCTGGCCCAGGAGCAATCTATGACAGCAACCCCAGCCTGAGCCACGAGCTGTCTGCCAAAGACAGCAAAACATAAGTTCTGGGGGCCAGCAGCACTTAGATGATGGCCTGAAGTGACATAGGCTCTGGAGACACTTCACTAGGGATACAGGACATTTCCTTATTCCTAAATACCTACAAAAGGCACTTGTAGGTAAACTCTTTGCTCTTTTTGTTTTTGGTACCGGGGATCGAACTCAGGTCCTTGCGCTTGCGAGGCAGGCGGCAAAACCACTGAGCTAAATCTCCGGCCCGTAGGTAAACTTTTGAAGCAGTTGCTGGTGGCACCTGAAGAATGCTTATTCACTCACTAAACGTTTATCCTAGGTCCTCCTACATACTAGGCAAGGAGGCAAATTAAGACATTCCCCTGCTTATGTAGAAGGTATGCATGAATAGGACACAATAAATATGTGAACCCTAAAGGGGACGACGTGCTGGAGACAGGGTGCTTTACAAAGACCGGAGAATCGGGGCAGGTACTCTCTCCCCCAATAACCCAGCCCTCACCCCCCGTCCTCGTACCTGTCTGCCGGGGACACATACTGGGAGCCCATGGGGCTGAGCACCAGCCCGCCGAACCTGTGGCCGAGGCGCAGGCAGCGCACCAGGCCCAGGCGGGCCAGCTTGCGGCCCGTGCAGCGCCGAGGGTCGCAGTGGCCCAGATCCCACATGGCCAGCACGTAGGGCAGCGTCGCTGGGCCCGAGCCACCCTCGTCCTCGGCGGTCTCTGACTCCATGGACGCTGTACCGGGAGAGAGAAGAGTCCCCGCCTCAGCGCGGGATCCTAGGCACGACCCCGATCCGCCCTCCTAATCACTCTCCACTCACCGCGCAACGCGGTGCCCACCTCTCCGGCGAAAGTCTCCAGGGAGCGGCCCTGACGGCGAGCGCGGTTGCCCTCTGCCCCTGGCCCGCGCGCCGCCCGCCGGCGGCCCATCGTGGGAAGCACAGATCCCCAGGGCCCAGAACACTCTTCAGCCACTGATTGGCCGCCTGGGTACCAAGACGCCACTTCTGGTTCGCGTCGCTCGGGTGACGCCACTTCCGGCTCTCACGTGACCCAGTTGGTACTCACGTGACCGCGCGACGGCGCGATGGCTGCGCATCCGGTGGTGTTCCTGCTACAGCTCTGGTTTGCCTTGTGTGGTTAGTGTCACCAACACCGCCCCCTGGTCCAATTCCCCCACTCCCCGCCCTCCCGTCCCCGAGCTTCCCAGCGCGCCTCCTCACCGCCTACCTACCTGTAGGGCCCGCTCCGACAGGTGCTGCGAAGATGAAGGTCGTGGAGGAGCCCAACGCGTTTGGGTGAGCGCCTCACGGGTTGGCGTTTCCGGCCAGGGGGCCTCCGAGGCAGTCTCCTGACTTGTGTTCCCTAGGCTGAACAACCCGTTCCTGCCTCAGACTAGTCGCCTGCAGCCCAAAAGAGATCCTTCGCCCTTGACAGGTGAGTCTGGAGCCCATCCGCCAGCGAGCGGGCAGCTGGCTTGGATGCCGACCGAAGTAGACCGGGTCTCCCATCTCCAGCAGGGAGAGCCCTCTGTCGGGAGGGAAGGGTGGCCTTTGATGAAAGACCCCGAGTTACTGCCTGGAGGCTCATGTGTTCGTTTATTAACCTTTGAATGTTTAAGTGTGGGAGAATATATTAGAAAGTTCTTGTACCGAGTTAGGTTGGCCCCAGACCTAGTCCTTAATTCGGTCTTCTAGTTAGGCGCCCTTAAGTTTGGTGTTTCTTCCGGAGGGGTTTCTGTGCTTCGGTGTGCATAAGTGTGTAAACAGAAAACGTTGTAATTTTTTTTTCCTTTTTTGAGACAGGGTTTTGCTATGTAGTTCAGGCTGGCCTTTTAACTATGTAGCCCAGGATGGCCTCAAGCTTGCTTTGATTCTCCCACCTCAGCCTCCTGAGTACTGGAATTATAGGCATGCACTACTGTCCCCGGTGCTTTTTTTTTTCTTTTCCCAGATCAGTGGTACTATGTAGGTTACTAGCTAATTTGTCTTTGTAATTACTCTGTCATTTATCACTCACTGTATGTCTAGGAGCTCTTCATGGTCCTGTATATAGGTCATCATTCTTTATGCTTCGTATTCTGCAGGACGACTTTATATTCCTTTTTTAGCTAGTATTTAGGTGGTTTACATTTTTGGGCTATTAGAAATAAATGCCATGGGCCAGGGATTTAGCTCAGTGGTTTCACTACCTGCTGCGCAAGCACAAGGACCCGAGCTCGATCCCAGGTACAAAAACAAAAAGGAAGAAAGAAAGAATGCCATGAAGAACAGCCTTGTAGATGACTGTCTACCCTTGTGCAAGTGGCTTTCTAATGCGGAGTCCCAGAGGTGGAAGCCTGGGTCATAGAATGTGCATTTTGTTTTGTTTGTTGGTGTTTTGGGGTTTTGTTTTGTTTTTTTTCCAGTACTGAGGATCAAACTGCAAGGCAGGCAAAGCACCACTGAGCTAAATCCCCAGCCCTGGTTTGGTTTTTTGAAACCGAGTCTTGCTATGCAGTCCAGGCTGGCCTCAAACTTGTGATCTTCCTGCCTCAGCTTCCCTAGTGCTGAGATTTCAGATATGTGGCTACATGCCTGGCTGAGTGTATGCATTTTAAACATTAAGTGTAAGACACAGAAATCCGAAAGTTTTCTTATTGAATACCTTTATGTGTTAGCTCTATGCTGGATTTGAAGAAGTAAAACATCCTGGGACAGAGGTCACAGGCAGTGCTGGATCAGACTATTTCCACTCACAGAGGAGGATCTTTTAAGTTTGGTATACTGCCTATTTCTCCAACACCATGGCATTTTATGCCCCAGAACTGTGGGTCTCCTTAGCAGCATGTGTGGGTCCCTGTCACCAGAAGCAGCAGCTGTGCTCTACTCTGCCCTTCCTTCATGGGCTAGTAGCTTCAGGGGTCTTCCTCACCTTTGTTCCTTCAGCTTTTGCTTTTTTTTTTTTTTTGGTACCAGGGATCAAACTCAGGTCCTTGCGCTTTCGAGGCAGGTGGCAGAACCACTAAGCTAAATCCCCAGCCCTACAAATTTTGCAATGATTTTTTTTTTTCCTTTGGTACCAGGAATTAAACTTGGGACCTTCCACTTGTGTGGCACCACTGAGCTAAACCCCAGGCCCTTTTTGTTACATTTAATCCCAGCACTAGAGAAGCTGAGACAGGAGAATCGCTGTGAGTTTGAGGCCAGCCTGAACTACACAGTGAGATCCTATCTCACAACCCCCTCCTCAAAAAAACAAAAACAAAAATACGGGCCAGGGATTTAGCTCAGTGGTTCCAGAGCCTGCTCACAAGCACAAGGTCCTGAGTTCGATCCTCAGTACTAAAAAGCACCAAAAATAAATCCTAGGGCTGGAGGTGTGGCTCAGTGCAGAGCATTTGTCTAGCCTGCAAGAGGCCCTGGTTCCATCCCCAGCATCAGAAAAACAAAAATCTAAAAGATCCAATTTGCCATTTAACCACCTTAAAGTGTGCAGTTCTGTGGCACAAGTTTTCACCATCCCAGGCTAAAACTCTGCCCCATTAAACAGTTCCTAGCTTATCTCCCCAGCCGTAACTCCCACAGTCCTACTTTGACTACTCTGTGAATCTTAAAGTGAATTAGAGGGGGCTTTGCACAGTGGCAGTATCATAGCCAATGAAGTTTATCCAAGGCACGATTATTGCTAATTGAAAAGTGAATTAGAGGGGGGAAAAAAAGTGAATTAGAGGGGCTGGGGATTTAGCTCAGCAACACAGCACCTGCCTGGCAAGCTTGAGGTCCTGAATTCGATCCCTGGTACCAAAAAAAAAGTGAATTAGAGGATATTTGTCCTTAAGTGTGTAGTGTATTTTGGTCAGCATATTGTGTCTTCAAAGTCTGTCCACACTGTTGCAGGTATCAGAGCATCACATTTTTTTTGGTACCGGGGATTGAACTCAAGACCTTGGGCTTGTGAGGCAGGTGTGGTGCCACTGAGCTAAATCCCCAGCGCAATTGAGTATCACTCTTTTCATGGCTAAGTAACATCCCACTAAGTGACCAGAGCACATGGTATATCCATTTGTCTGCTGTTTCCACCTCTTGTCTGCTGTGACTAATCACAGCTGTGAATGTGGTGTTCCACTATGTGTTCCAATCCCTACTTCCAGTTCCCAGGAGTAAGATGGGCTCAATCATGTGTTAACTGAGTGTCCTAGATACTTTCCTCATGGCTATGAAACAATACCCGACACCCATGACTTGAAAGAAGAGAGGTTTATTTTGGCTCACCATTACAGTCCAAGGTCATCTGGCTCCAAAGTAGAATGGCATGGCAGAGGAGCATTAACAGAGAAAGAGCTGCTCACATGGTGTCCAAGGAGATACCATACCTTCCTGGTTATACCCCCACAGTGACCTCTTCTGACCAGGCCCCACCTAACAGCAAGACAGCTACAATGCCCCTATATTCCAATCACATTTCAAAGATCTTGCCTATAGGGACATGAGGCTTTAGGGGGACATCTAGATATAAACCATAACACTGAGGAACTGCCAGACTGCAACTATACCATTTTATGTACCTACCAGCAGTGCATAAGGGTTGTCTTTTATTTTTTTTTGGTACTGGGTATCGAACTCAGGACCTTGCACTTGCAAGGCAGGGGGCGGCACCACTGAGCTAAACCCCTGGCAAGGGTTGTCTTTTGATGCACAAAAATTTTCATTTTGGTAGCCTGTAAGCTCAGCAGTTGGGAGGCTGAAGTAGAAGTGTTATCATGAGTTTGAGGCCAGTCTGGGCAACATAGTGAGTTCAAGGGCAGCCTGAACTATATAGCGAGACCTTGTCTCAAAAAAAAAAAAAAGAGTTTTGCTCTATTGCCCTGGCTAGCCTCAAACTCCTGGGCACGTGATCCTCTTGCCTTAGCCTCCTGAGTAGCTGAGATGAAGGGAGCCACCATCATGCCGAGCTAGTTTGCTGGTGTTTTGTTGAGGACTTTAGCATCAGTGATCAGGATGTTGGGCTGCAGTTTCCCTATGGTGTCTCTTTCTGGCCTTGGTATCAGAGTAATGTTGGCCACATAGAATGAGTAAATGTTCTTCTCAATTGTCTGAGAGATTGAGGATTGTTGTTCGTTCTTTAAAATATGTGGTAGTGGACCCGGGGATTTAGCTCAGTGGTTTCGCTACCTGCTGTCCAAGTGCAGGGACCCAAGTTCAATCCGTGGTACCAAAAAAAAATTAAAAAAAAATAAAATGTGGTAGAAATTACTGGTGAGCTATCTGCTCAGGCTCTTCTTTATCTGGGATAATTTCTGCGTATTTGGAAATTCCCATGTATTGATTTCTAGTTGCATTACTTTGTGATCAGAAAAAATGTTCTGCATGATCTCAGTCTTTTAAAGTTCAGTAACTAGTTTTGTGAGGTAACATGGTTTGTCCTTGAAAAATGTGTATTCTGCTGTTGGATGGAGTGTTTGTACATGGCTGTTAGGTCCAGTTGCTTTATAGTGTTGCTCACATCCTTATTTTCCTCCTGAACTTCCCTGTGGTGGTTCTGTATTATTAAAGGTGGAATGTTGATGTCTCCAAGTGTTACAGAAGAACTATTTTCTCTCTTAATCTATCACTATTTGCTTCATATATTCTGGAGCTCTTCTGTACATACAGTTGTTGTACCTTGGTGAACTGACCCTTTTATCAATACAATGTTCTTTATTTCCCTCTTTTTTTCATTTTTTGTTTTGAGACAGGGTCTTGCTATGTAGTTCAAGCTGGCCTTTGAACTGTGTAACCCAGACTGAGGTGATCCTCCTGCCTCAGTCTCCTGAGTGCTGGGATTACAGGCACGCACCACCATGCCTGGCTAACAGTGTTCTTTCTTGACTCTTGTAACAGTTTATTGCAGTGTATTTTGTCTGAGGTTAGTACGCCCATTTCTGCTCTGTTGTGACTGCATGGCCTTGTCTTTTCGGTCTTGAAGTGAAGTGATTCTCTTAGGGGCAGCATCTAGGTGAGTCTTTTATTCTTATTTTTTAAACTTTTGACAGTCTGAGCCTTTTGAATGCAGAGTTTAATCCACTTAAGGATTTAGAGAAAGTGGGCCAGGGATTTAGCTCAGTGGTGCCATCCTTGCCTGGCAAGCACACACAAAAGAAGAACTTAGAGAAAGCAAATAATAAGATGTCTTACAGTAGTGTTTTGTTTTGAGACAAGGTCTCAGTAGATAGTTCAGGCTGGCCTTGAACTCACTGTGTAACCCAGGGTGGTCTTGAACTTGTGGTGCTCCTGCTGCCTCAGACTGCCACGTGCTGGTGGTTACAGGTCTGCACCACTGTTGGTTTTTTTAGTGGCTTTTTTTCCCCTTTTCCCAGACAGGGTCTGGCTCACTGTGTTGCCCAGCCTGGCCTCTAATCCCTGGGGTCAGGTGATCTCTGGCTCAGCCTCCAGCTGCATACCTGTGACCACAGGCACTCACCTCGGTGCCTGGCTTATAGTGGCATATTTGATTACTTTTCATACATATTTTATCATTTTCTTTGTTGCTACCATGGGAATTACATATAACATTTAAAAATTACAGAACTCTAGAGACGGGGATTTAGCTCAGTGGTTCTGCTGCCTGCCTCGAAAGCACAAGGTCCAGAGTTTGATCCCTGGTACCAGAAAAAAAAAAAAATTATAGAACTCTAAATTTACACCAACTTCAATTGCATGCAAAAATTACTTATATAGCTTCATCTGCCCTATTTTTGTAATTTATGTCACAAGTCTCAGTATGTGACTGTTAAGATTTATAATTAGTTTTTCTGCATTAGTTTAATCAGATGTATAAACCAGAAATGACAGTCTGGGTTTTCTCATTTGCCCACATGTCTGTCTACAATGGAGAGCTTGCCGTCTTCACCCAGTTGTTTCTGCTTGTCTTTCCCCATCCAGGCTCCATCTGGCATTTCTGCTAAGGCAGCTCTACCTATAATCAGATAAGCCAATTTCTCAAGTTTTGTTGCCTAGGAACATTCCTGCCCTTTTTTTTTAGGGAGGGGCTTGGTGGGGATTGAACCTAGAACCCTGAGCATTTATTTTGGAGCTTTGATGTCCTTTTTTTTTGCTTTTTTAAGATAGAATCTGCTCTAGTTCAGGTTGGCCTTGAACTCATTATGTAGCCCACACTGGTCTCCAACTCACAGAGCTCCTCCTGCTGAGGGCTGACCTTAGCCATCATGCCCAGCTATCTCTGATGTCTTATAGCTGCTCTTAAGAGACTCACTTGAGGGCCAGGGATTTGGCTCAGTGGCACGTCTGCTTCCCAAGCGCAAGGTCCTGAGTTCAATTTCAGTTCCAAAGATAAACAGGTTGAAAATAAAGGGATGGAAAAAACATGCTAAAACAAGTGGGGTAGCTGTACTAATATCAAAGTAAGGTCGGCGTGGTGGCACACGTGTAATCCCTGCATGTGGGAGGATGAGCCAGGAGGATTGCCATGAGTTTGAGGCCAGTCTGGGCTACATAGTGAGTTCAAGGCCAGTCTAAACTACACAGAAAGACCCTGCCTCAAAAACAAAAAAACCCAAAATACACAAGTCAGAAACCACCTATAAGAGTCAAAAAAGGACACTAAGTTTGTAACATTCAGTTCAGCACAATGTAACAAATACATGTACAGAACTCCAAAATACCTAAGCATGCTCCCCACTGAGCTACATAGCCCCTCATTCTTGGAGAACATTTTCCTGGATACAGAATAAGTTTCCATTGGATTGCCATTTTTTTCTCCTTTGAACAAACACTTTTTTAATGTGTTCTTATGGTTTTGTTGAAAACTGGTCTTGCAAAAACAACTCTGTCAATCTCTGCATGCTGGGTACACGCTCCAAGGTTGCCATGAGCCCATCTGAGCCCACTCTTGCACATGGTGGCCTTTGTCTTAATGTCCCAGCCTTACTCCACATCTGGGGTTCACTGTCTGCTGTGCCCCTGCAAAGAGCTAAGTCAGGCAAGGCCTGTGCTTGAGGTGGCCCCAGACAGACTGCGACAACAGAGGGCTTGTGTGCCTTCGCAGGGATGGGTACAGAGCACAGGACTGGTCCTTCCAGCTTAAAGGCAGAGTGGTACTTCAGTTCACCAACTTAATTTGTTCTACAATTTTGGAAAAGCTACGTTTGTGCTTATGTGGGAAAGATGGCCATGGTCATGTCTGTCACCTGATGCAGTTTCCAAATAAAAACAAAACTTTGCCAAATGCTTCTGCTTGTGAAACAAACTGCAAACAAAAGCATTCATGAACCGAGGTACCACTGTAGCTCTTTTGTTGACTGGAAACTTTGGCCTGTGTCTTAGCTCCCTAAGGTTAGTTCCACTAGTGTCTGGTGGTTCCTTGAGTCCTGGGGAAATGAGCTTCGCACTGCCTGGTCAGGCTTTCCCGCCCACCTTGGCTTCTCTGTAACCAGCCCTTGGGTTTATAGGGCCTGGGGTTTCTGCTGGCATAGCCCCACTGTGCAGGGGACTAACCTGGGCACTTTGCTGTCCTCTTCCAGGGCCAGCACATCTCTTCAGACTCTCTGGCAAGTGCTTCAGCCTGGTGGAGTCCACGTGAGTGTGGGTGGGGTGGGCAGCAGGTGGGGTCTGGGGCCCACCTGACAGCCCTGTACCCCCAGGTACAAGTATGAGTTCTGCCCATTCCACAATGTGACCCAGCATGAGCAGACCTTTCGCTGGAATGCCTACAGTGGGGTCCTTGGGTGAGTGTGGGCAGGCCCTTGGGTGACAGGGTGGCCCATTCTCCAGTCCAGCTTTATATGTTGGTGCCTCTCCAGCATCTGGCATGAGTGGGAGATCACCAACAACACCTTCATGGGCATGTGGATGAGGGATGGCGACTCCTGCCGTGCCCGAAGCCGGCAGAGCAAGGTGAGGCCTGGGCCTGGGGCTAGAGGCAGGCCTAGGCTTTACCCATCACCCACCATGCTGCCCTTCCCAGGTGGAGCTTACCTGTGGGAAGAACAACCGACTGGCCCACGTGTCTGAGCCAAGCACCTGTGTCTATGCACTGACATTCGAGACCCCCCTTGTCTGCCACCCCCACTCTTTGTTAGGTAGGACTGAGGGTTGGGGACTCTGTTGCCAAGGGCTCTGCTGAGTCTGGCTCCCTGTGGATTCTTAGTGTACCCAACCCTGCCGGAGGCCCTGCAGCAGCGGTGGGACCAAATGGAGCAGGAGCTAGCCGATGAGCTCATCACCCCCCAGGTGAGTACTGGGAGGGCTACACATCTAGCCTATGCCCCCTCCATTAACCCCCTGGTATCCTCTTGACTTCCTCTACCCTCAGGGTTATGAGAAGCTGCTGAGGGAGCTTTTTGAAGACGCTGGCTATTTAAAGGCCCCAGGAGAAAATGAACCTACCCAGCAGGAAGGAGCAACTAGGGGTCTGGGTACTGAGACTTTGGAAAATTGCAACAAGGTAAGTGCAGGGGGTCCCTGGTCATGAACTCTCCACTCCCTCCAGTGGCCTGACCTGTCATCTGCACTCTTGCTGTGTAGGCACGTTCAGAGCTGTCAGAGGAGATACAGAGGCTCACCAGTCTGCTGAACCAGCATGGCATCCCATATGGGAGGCCCACAGGTGGGTTGGCCAGGCCTGGGTGGAACCTGCTACCCCAGAGACCAGGACCTGACCTGCTGCCTGGTGTCTCAGCAGAAACCTCCCACTCTGAGCACTTAGCCCAACAGTCCCCCATAGATGTGACTTCAGAGCAGCTTCGAGGGGATCCAGGACTGCGTGGGACCATCTTGTGACTGGAGGTAGACATAAGAGGTGAAGAACATCTGTCCAGACCCACATGCATTTGGTGGCAGGAGGGCAGCAAGCAGCTAAGACACCCTGGGGCTGAGAACACTACTTCTGCTGGACGTGCAGAGCCAGCGGGGGGACTCTGGCCTGACTTTATTGTACTCAGAGACACAGAGAAAATAAAGATTCAAAGTTTTAATTAATTCCCATACTGATAAAAATAATTCCATGAATTTTGTAAACCATTGCATAAATGCTATAGTGTAAAAAAATTTAAACAAGTGTTAACAATTTTAAACAATTCACTACAAATAAATGATTATGCATTATAAATATGACCTTCTGGGTTAAGAAAATTCCATTCACATAACATTCTGATCTAAATGCTCAAAATAAAAACACATGGGGCTTCCATAAATTAATCCACATGAAGTGTCCATACTGGGTGCATGAACGTGGCAACACTATCATTTACTAATATTTCACACAAGTCAAAAGACAACAGGCAGTAAGAACAGCATTGCTGGTTACCCCACAATTTCAGCTCCCACACTGAGTCCCCACCTCCATCAACTACATCTGAGGTGGGAGCCTGCCCATCCCCAGCTGGGGTCCTGGGTCATGCAGGATGACTTCCAGAGGCCACAGGCAGGGTGGGGAAGGACCCACAGTGAGCAGCCCCCCATGGTCTTGCCACACTATTGGCTCACTCCTGGGTAGTTCTTTGGTCTCCCTGCATACCTGTCCTCAGGCTGTCGTGATCCGAGGAGAGTGGGTGCTCAGGGCCAGGCACCTCACTATGGGACGCAGTTGGCAGTTCCCAGCCATTGCTCCCACCCTAGAACATTGGGCCTGGAGGGGAGCTCCAGAGCACTGGCCATATTCCACAGGAAAAACTGACCAGAGTAGCTCATAGATAGATCTAAAGCTTAATGGTTCTTATTTGTTTACAATTTGAAAATGTCTAGGCTACATACCAATAATAAATGTCCCGTTATCCCAAAGACCAAAGGCCTGAAATGGGAAACAAGTGCATAAATATTAATAAAAATAAACAATCTTAAACAGTGATAACAGTAGCACAAAATATACGTAATTTCTAGGTACTGAGCTAATAAATCATCACTATAATTAGAAAGAAATTCACTAAAACCAAGTCAACAGTTAACCATTAGTGTACTAGCTGCGGAATGTCATGGATCCACTGCCTTTAAAATGACAGAACCTTTATCAGTTTGTCTTATATTAAAAAATGCTTTTTAAATCTCCTGTATTAAATACATTCTAATTTGGTCACTGATAAAAATGTTTACCTAGTCACTCTGCACTTTAAAAAAATGCTATTAAAAGTCTTTGGCAAAGCCACAGGGGAGGAGAGACAAGATGGCCCTTCCAGCCAGGGGCAAAGCCCACCCCCTCCAGCTGCTTGCCAGCTGAGGGGCAAGATCTCTGTGGACAACACAGCTCTTCTCCCCAGATTTCTGAGGACAGGCCCAGTCCTGACCAGAGAGGACTCCTATCATCACGCTGGGTACATTCTCAGCAACATTCCTGTCACAAGTCTGAGGCTAGCCATGAGGGACCTGCAGTCACCCAGGAGCTGATGGGCAGAGGAGGATGCTGCACAACCAGGGTCCCAGGCCATGGAGGCACCTCACTTGTCACAAGGATGAACTCCGATTAGGGATGCACAGGTCAAGTGAAGGTGTGGCTAACGCTGTCACCCAGGGCTCCACATGGCTGCTGTGGCATCTCTTGAGGCAGAAGTTGCAGGCAGCGACAGATGCGGGAGAGGGAAAGCTCCTAATTCACAGCCCACACACTCAGCAAAGCCAGGCTGCCCCAAACATCTCAGGTTTCAAAGCACCATTGCCCATGACAGATCTAAGTTGCCAGAACACGGCTTCTTCCAAAGTGAACTTCAAAATCCATTAGTACCTGGTCCCTTAGGTCGCATTTCTCATTAGCATCAAATTCTCTTTTACAGTTTCAAGTGAAAAAACAAAACAAAACGGACCATTTCCTTCACTTTGGCAAGGCATAGGCACTTAGAAAAAGTGGCCATGGATCACTTAAGTACAGGGTAGAGCTCTCGGTATCATCTCACAATGCTGGAATAGAAAACTCCAATGACATGTGCACGTTCACATGTTTAGGAAAATTAGTTCCTCATAAAATTCAAAACAACTAAATGTATCTTTTAATAATCACCCTCCTTATAAATACTATTTGTTTGCACTTGATTTGAAAATGTAAAAATGCTAGGTATTCCTCACTAGATAAACACTCATTTCTTAAGTAGTTTCAGAATACGAAATCTATCTGCTAGACTATGCATTAACAGTAAACGAATAGGAAACTTCAAGTTCACAGCACACGTATAAAGCTTCATGTTATCGGATATTAAAAAACACAGACCTAGAAAGCAGCTTATACAATTCATAACATCTAAATCCCTTGGTTGACAAAGTGCTTTGATGAGACACCCCCCACCCCACCCCCACCCCCATGGCCTGGCCACCGCAGCATCAGGACCCTGGCCCCTACCACACTCCACCTGTCCAGCCCCTGGAGGCATAGAGCCCCTTGGGGATGGGCAAGTGGGTTCTTGGTGTTGTTAAGGTTTTTAAGAATACCTTGAAACCACTGGAGGACCACAGTAGGTAAGAAAAATACAAAAGGCTGTCGGGTGAATAGGGCGTGAACTCACATCCTGACATAGTGGCACCAGGAATGATGACACTGCTGTGGAAGGTGAGGGCTGGCTCTGGTCACCACGGGAGGGGCTGGCCCTTGCAGTAGGGGCACTCAGGTGCACTGGCTGCACATGGCTCACACAGGACACGGTGCTGGCAGGGCTGCAGGGTGGTGTCACAGGCCTGCTCCCGGCAGGCCACACATTGCTTGGCATGGAGCTGGAAGATCACCTGTGGAGAAGATGCTATTGATGGAGCCAGCAGGCACCTAGGCCTTCCCAGCAGCCAGAGGACAGCATTCTAGGATGATGGGCCACCACACAAGGGAGAGTGGCTGAGTGTGGGGGGACACTTGCCCTTTGAAGCCTCAGGGGCAGAGAGCTATCTCCTAGGGCCAGAGCCACCTCAGCCTTAAGAAGAGAGGCCATCGAGACAAGACAAGAACCATGGGAGCTGGATACCTAGGACATGAGGCAGGTGGGATCCTCCAGGAGACTGCACCTTGGAGGTGAACCCAGGGAGGTGCACACAGCAGCTGCCCTGGTCACAGGACCTTCCAGGGCTCAGAATGGAAAGTGTCCAGCCACCAGCACAGTAGGTTTTGTGCTACACCAAACTCAGGATTCTGAGAGGCACCAGTGATCCCAGTGGCCAACTCTAAATAAAGTGCCCCAAACTCAGGAAGAGTAGTGCCAGCGCCGGGGATTTAGCTCAGTAGTTTCGCTGACTGCTGTGCAAGCACAAGGACCCGAGTTCAATCCCAGGTACCAAAAAACAAACAAACAAACTAAAAAACAACCACTTAAGAGTAGGGCCATTCTGCATGGAAGGCACAGCTACATGCTCATTAGAAAGGGCAGGACAAGAGGAGGTGCTCAGTGGGCAGAGCCTGTGGCCATACTGTAGGCTGGTATGGGGAAGAGAAGGTCATACAGAGCAGTCTCAACCCTCTCCTGCCCTAAAGGGGCAGACCCCAAGCCACCACTGCATACCAGGACATACCTCATCAACAGCCTCGAGGTCCAGGCGCAGCTGGCTTTGTAGAGAGTGCAGCTTGGGGAGTGGGATAGAGCCGATGTCACCGCAGCTCCGTAGCCCAGGCAATGAGGACAACAAGCCCAGGCCCTCGAGCTCCTCCTGCAACTGCTTTACCTGAGCCTCAACCTCCTCCTTTCTCTGCAGGGCCAGCTGCCGGTCACTGTCTGCCATTCGGGCCCGCTCCTTGGCCTCCTGAGCCTCTCGCTGCCATGCATCACAGGCCTGAAACCCAGGAGATAATGCAGGAGCAGCCAGAGCCAGCCTCCTCCTACACCACCTGTCCTACCCATCCCATCCCACCCATGCATCCAGGGCCCTCCCCACATGCTCACCTGCTTCACCTGCTGCCAAGACTCTTCCCACTGCCTAATCTTCCTCTTGGCCTCATCCAGCTGCCGCCTGACCCGGGCCAGCTCAGCACCATTTGGACTTGACACTGGGGGGCCAGTGTTTAGGATGGGAGAAGGGCTGGGAGAGAAGCTGCCAGAAACAAAGTCCCAAATGCTCCCAGGGACACCATTCAAACCTAGTGTGAGGAGTAGATAAGATGGAGATGACAGGGGCCACACTGTGCCCACAGCCTGCCCCTCCTGGCCACCTCTCCCAATGGACCTGTGATTCCCTTGCCCATGATCACAGGAGCCCTAACTCTTGGTCAGCTCCCACAGGCGAGGCCACGAGATGCCAGCACAGGCTGACAGCGATGCCACTCAGATCTTTCTAACACACCTCTCTCCCAACCACTTGGGGAATTTAAGCTAAAAAGGAAATTGAATCCAAAGTCCCTATGGCTGCACATGGAGAACAGGGCTTCTCAGGCTTTAAGTACAGATCCTAGAGGCCTCAAGCTTCTGCTTCCCTGGGTTATGCCTGCTGCCATGCATGCAGCATTAGAGATCAGCACAAGCATTCTTTAAAAATGTAATGGATCACGTAAGATTAAAAAAAAGAACAACTTTCGATCCCCGGTACCAAAAAAAAAAAAAGAACAACAACAACAGGAGGCACTAGTGCTATTTCTGGTCACTATCATTTACACTCCTGCATGGGAGCTTCGGACCAACAGCCTGTACCTCTGCACAGCACCATGAAGCCACCTGGGCTATGAGAGCATGGCAGTCCTACAATAGGATGGCAAGGAAGGAACGAGTGCCATGATGGCAGGGGTTCCCATGCTGTTGGGGACCAGCCATGATATGCATAGATTAGTAAGGGGCCAGATTACAGGCACCACAGGCCCAGGTCAGAGTTAACGTGCCTCTGCAACAGAAAAGTATGACTCCCTGGCTGTGTGGAAAGCCATAAACATAGCACTCCTGAGACAAGATAACTCCTACTGAGGGCAACAGATTATGCAGACATGTGGGGAAAGACCCTAACTTCTCCCTTTAAGATGCTAAACTCGGTCCCTATCTTGCTATTCTAATCTTACTACACTTGGTGTTCCTGGGATCTTACACTACACCCTCCGCCTGCATTTCTTGGTGAATAGTAAAAGCGGGGCCACCGTGGAATTGAGTTCATAGAAGCCTATCCAC